CACTTTTTTGATGCACAACAGAAGTGTTAAAACAAAGTACAACCCTGAGTGCATTCGTTTAGTGCTAAAGTATGAAGCAAATTACTAATTAGCTAATTAATAGAGTTATACTGAATAAAGTATCGGACATTAGCCTTCTCAAAAGAGCTGGCATCTCCCTAGAATAGGATTTGGGACAGTGCACCACAGAATTGTTAAACTGGAAGGGACCTCTGAAGGTCACCTGGTCCAACAGCCCCTGCTCCAGCAGAGTCCCCTCGAACAGGGTGCCCAGGACCATCTCCAGCCTACATATGGTGTTTTATAAAGTACTTTCCAAGTCACAGAATCCATGGAAGGACTGGAAGCTGTCATGGTATTGATTTGAAAATATTCACTAAAATACATTGTTAATGTTTCTGTTGAATCGGTCCTGACTGAACTATCGAAACATATTGAATAAATACAGGTTCTTTATATACTCTGTAGATGTGCTTATCAGTCATCAGACAGAACAAGCAAACACACTTCAAGTTAAAGATTTTAAATTTGTAGTTAGGGCCTCAGACAAGACTGAATGACCCACATCTCAGGGGCAAATATAAGAACATATACATACATATATGTATATTTATATATTTAATGCAACATTCTAAAAAGGGAAGTATTTTTTTCCTGTTCCTAGAAGAAAATGGGATTCTCGTTTACACATTCAGCTGGATTAAAGGCAACCAGAAGAAGATAAAAACAGAATTCAGAAAACTAATCTTAAAGAATATGCACACCTGGCTTCTCTGCATTTCTCTATACGTCAGTTAGCAGAACAGAAGCTGACAGACTACTTGCATACACTTCTAATTTGGTGCTATGCTATCGATATTCCCAGCAGGTTTCTGTACCATTTGCTATTTCAAATAGTCACATTACTTTGTCACTAGGTGAAATTTACTATATTAAAAGCTTTTTCAATGAAACAATAATTACTGTTTGCTGAGGCAGTTTCCCACATGAATCAGCGCAGAAGAGAGACAAACACGTTTGCCTCTCTCTAATCTTCTTTAAATTGCCCTGTAGTCAGCTACATAAATCAATACACCCAAACAGACGACAACTGTTTTTCACCTCAATGTCTACATAAAGATAGATGCGGAGTAGCTCTGCTACTACTTATTAGCAGGTTCTGTTTGCAGTAATACGATTATGGCTCTGCCAGCTAGTTCATTAGAGAGTCCTATTTACAGAGGTTTATAAATGTGTAACAGAAATGGTCTTCAAGATACAATATAGCTTTAAAAGTTTCAGGGTTGTTTTTTAGAGGTTAAAAAGAAATAAATTAATTAATAATAATAATAATAATGGAAGGGGAAATAGTCTTGCTTCCTAATTCCCATATCATTTCCATATCAGGTATTAGGTGCCAAACAGAAACACCAAGGAAACAGATGGGAGTGTTCTGGCTTAATGGACTTTGGTGTTTCAGACAAGATCAGCAATCCAGTATCTGTAATTATTACAGACCCTGTGCATGTTTTATTACCGTTAAGAAGTGGTTTTGATGGTGACATGCCCTAGTTCTGATCATTCTGATCAAAGGGATTATATACACTACATGTGATCTTTCTGGACTGTTTCATTTGGTCGCTGAGTTCCTGCTCTACTGTAATACAATCCACAGCACTGTGGACTTCATTTAAATGCCACCGTGGTGCATGCCAGAGGCTGCTGCTCATTAGCAAGTTATAGTGTTTTTATATATCACTTCTTTATAGAAAAAGCTATGGCAGATAGCTCTGTCCTTCCCTGTATCTACGTTGTGCTAAGAGCACTGCACACCGTGCAGCCACTGACAGCCATCCACCTGGAGTACAAGCCCAGGGAAGAGGCGTGCAGGCAGAGGCTTGTGCTGAGCTTTGCTGGAGTCCACAAGTGCTGACAGATCTGGGGCACTGGCACAGGCTGCCTATATCCCTGTTCTTTCAGTGTTGGAAAGTTTATTTAGAAATTTTGCAGGAGCAGTTTTAGAAGAAATGCAAGTACTTTTTTTTTTCTTGAGTGAATTTGATGATCTTAAGCTTTGTCCATGTAGCTCCACTTTAACCATAGGTGTGCAACCAGAAATCCTAGCTCTAGGGAAAGAATGTTCAAAAATAGGACCACATCTGAACCTTGACGTGAAAGTGCTAAGGGTGGTACCGATCATCCAGTTAATTTAACCTTTAATATCTGTGTTGCCTCCATCAGCTAGGATAGCAAGCCAGAGCAGCTGATAGATTTTTTTCAGCTCCCAACTCACCCTTGTATCAGGTTGTTGTGCTCGTCAGATGTAACACAAGGCAGAAGCAAATACACGATATTGCCATTCATCTCGCAAGGAATAATTACTTTCAGGCAATAGTCAGTAGGTGCTTTCAGGAAAGGGCTATTAAAAGTCCTGAGTCATCCTCTCAACAATCTGAACAAATCTATCTTCTCCAAGTTCTTCAGCATTTTGTTGCCTTCCACAGGATGCGAATTAAATGTGCTCTTTTGTAGCAGAAATACAAAGCTGTGCAGAGTTTAACTTAGAGGCCATTCTGCAGAGCTGTTGCTAACTTCCCCCTCACAATGCCTAGCAGGAACTCCAGGACATGAGATAAGCATCAAGGAAACGGGCTCCACTGGCAGTAACAAACAAATGCAGGATTTTTTGCATGCTCTTTCTTGCTACAATGCAAAAAAGGACATTTAGGTATTGCAAGGAATTTTTGCTTTTTCCATGGCTTTGCAGCTCACCTTCCTCTAGTTTAAATCTACAGATCAAGATGAACAGATCGAAGATCATTTTCCATCACATTTTCCAATTTTTCTGAGAGGTCTAGCCATGCAGCAGCAGGGAAACCACAAAAGTCCCAATACAACTGCCAGTGACAAGGAAGCAGAGAACAGAACCACAGAAACGGCATCAAGTTATCCTGTTCCTCTGTGAAAATCTCCCACTAGAAGGAGCTTCCATATCTCTGCCATACAATGATTAACATTTTTAAGAGGTAATTTACAGATGGTAGCTTGCGGGTCCAGTCAGAAAAACACACTCCCCCTTCCCCAGCAAGTTGCCAGCCCAGTGAACCTTACAGGATTTGAACAGAAGCTATCCCTCTGCCAAATATTTTCCCTTGATGTCTGAATAATTTGACTTTATTAAGGAACAGAAATCTGTTGGCCAGTCTCAAGTCCCCTTGACAGAAGCAGCAGAAGGACAGGAGTATTTTTTCAGTGCTGAGTTGCAGGGAGGTCTGTATCACACGGGTAGTATCAGCTTCTCTCCTGCACACCAGGAGGGTTGCTCAGGCTGGGGCTTGGAAGTGAATGATGAAAGTTTGGCCAAAAGCCTGAAGGGTAAAGATCATTTGCAACCCCTTTAAAGCAAGATCACAGTCAAGATTACTCAGCTCTTCTCAGTCTGTCTGTTTTCCCCCACCCTCCCTCCTTCCTCTATAGCACCTGCTTGATTTTGCAGGTAGAAAAAACTGCTAAACTGCAGTGGAAATCCTCGGTGGCCTCTCAAACGCCCATCTCAACACCACTCACAATCTCACAAAATCCCTCAATTACAGAGCTAGAAGAGCATTCAAAATAGGAAAAGCTAGGAGACCCCAGGTAAAAAATCCAAGCAATTGCTACCCGTATTTTTTTTAGCCAAGCACTTTGCAAGCTGTGCAAGTTTGTTATTGTTCACCATTCTCTATAAAGCATCACCTTGCAACCAGAGCTGATCTTGAGGTCTGTTCCAGCTCTCTGAATTTAAAAAAGAAAAAAAAAAAAAAAAAAAAAAGCAACAAGCACTTTTGAAAAGCAACAAGCACTTTTGTAAATAGTGGTTCTGAATGTCACTAAAACCAGTTTCACCATGTAATAGCAGCTAAAAGACGTGACTGTTTCAGACAAATCAAAGCACGAGTAGAAATGAAACTAGAAAGCAAATGCTATTAAAATTCTGCAGAAGAAAAACAAGGCAGACTGTGGCAATGTCGAGACACCAGCTGGCTCACAGAGAAAACACTCTAAACAAAAATATCAAGACAACTGGAAAAGGATATGCCGTAACTTGCTGTACATATTTTAAATCCACTGAATTTTAAGTTAAATCCACTTTGCAAGCACACAGTGGGACACAACATTTTTATCACTTTCCAATATCCACCAAAAATGTTTTGCTGTATAAATAGAGTTGTGCAACTCTTAATCTCTGGAATAACACAATCAACAGAAATTTCCATTCATGAATCATTTCATCCAGAATAACTGCACTGTACCATTCTCCTGATGGGGAGGGAGAGCTCATATCTGAAATATGAGCCTTCCCTTTAATTGATGAGAATTAATTTTGCACACTTTGTAACAGTGTTTTTCAGATCTCCTGTACTGACACTTGGCATTTTCAGATTCTACCTTATTAAGCTACATTAATTTCCCAATCATTTGAACAGCTTAAATGTTCAGACAATTATTGGTGAAGCAAGCAAGCAGAGGACAAGAATTGTCATCTCCATTTTGTATCCCTTCACCTCAAAGACATAAGAAATAGAGATATTCGTCTTGATGACAAATCAGTAACTCCACTTATCACTACCAGAAAGCTAGCTATATGAACACATTTTCTGATTATAATTTTACCAAACTACAGAAATCTAGGAAAACCTACATCCACATTGGTTCTGAAATCTTCCAAATTCATCTAAGACAATATAGTGCCCTCTGCAGGTTTTCCTCTCATATTACATCTCCAGAAAGTAGATTGAAGTATCTTAATGTATAAACAAACTCGACTTTTAAAGTAAATTCTGTCTCCTAATCTTTGAGGTAACACTGTAAGTCCTGTAAGATGAAATAAGAAATAAATTAAATAGAAATAGTATCTTTTAAAAATAAAAACAATGGAGTCAAGCTTGGAATGATAATATGCAGTTTTAAATGATTTGCTACTTAGGTGATGAAATTGAATGAAGATAGAAAATATATATCGTATTCTCAAAAAAAGCCTTCCAGCAGTTTTACAGGAATTCCACAATTGGTTTAATTGTTATTACTTTCAGCAAGAAGAATTACCATTACAAAGTCAATTTGCACTTGTCAGAAAGTCAGAAAGATTGAACCCCACCACACCAAATCATGCAAAGCTTTTTCCTTCCCTGCACCCAGATGCTTGCATGTTAAACTGTTAAAAGCTGCAGCCACTTTGGCCATAAAAGCCCTGCCAGTAAACTTGGAGGTGGTAATGCATGAAGTAATTCAGATATAGTATGACAAAACTTACACCTTGGCTTACTTTTCCACATAATGAAAACACAGGGTGTGAATAATTTTCCATTAGGTCCATTACAATAATTATATATATATATTCATGAGAAGTTAATTCAATATATTTTAAGGGATTTACAAGCAGTACATCAAATTCTATGCAGTTCAAAAGTAAAGCTTACTAAACTTCAGTCCTTATATTAAATTGAGCTCCACTGCAGTGATATATCACAGTAAATTTTGCCAGAAAAATGGGTTGATGACTTGATGACTGTGATAGGAGTTACTTTGCTTCTGAATGTGTAAAACCTAAAAACAATAAGGGTGGGGGGGGTTAACAAAGGAAAAAAATATATATTAATAACATTGTCATTTTTCTTCCTTTGTACAGTATGATCCAGAGGCATGAAAACCCTTTTAAAGTATACTGCTGAACAAGGGGAAACATAACAACAACCGTTAGCTTTAAGGCTACAAAATCTGGTTTATTGTGCTAGCCATGCCCTGTGTCAGAAGCACAGCAAATGGATATGTAGATTTTATACAGGTGTCTACGTGTGTAATCAACAAACATGGGATGGTCATGCTACAATAAGCTACAATAAAGGAAAGTTCTAGAAACACAACCAAAGCATTTCACTAGAATTTCATGACTCAGGAAGAGCACAGCAAGCATCTGCTAGCTCATCAGGTGTATGCACAAAGTAAACTAAGACACCTCGACAATGCCACACAGCAAAATGGAGACAGCAATCCAAGCGGCAGTGCTCCAAGAGCAGTGAATCTGTTTCTAACCTCACAAGAATACCTGCAGACTCTGGCTTTGCAGGCAAGCTTAAAAGAAATGCTGTGGTTATCGACACACAGGCTTTCAACACCAACAGAAGCAATATTCCACTGGTATTTTAGCCATATTTTTTTTCCTAATATCGAATGGCATTTTCTCTCGAGAGCAAAAACTTCAATTTTTCTACTTTTATACAGAATGCTACATACCCCCTGCAACCCTGGGTCTCTGGAAATCCATGGGTTCTCTCCACTGCTACTACTGATATGACAGGGAGAACAAGCAAAAAAATCTTAAAGGAGAGAGAATGGATTGTCCCAGCAGATCTCATCACCAGCTGGGTCCTGCAAACTGCTCTGAGCATAGACATCTAAAAATGCCCATGCCACATATACACTAGGGCATCACTTAACCTCTGGCAGAGAAGCTGCAATCTGACCAGTCGTTGTCTTTTGAGTGGACATACAACCATGTAAGAGTGGGTTATGAGACCAGCAACACCATTCCTGGTGTGGCTGGCTGTCCTCACACAGCCACTGGCAGCACAAATAGAAGTCATGTCCAGTGAGGGCTTCTCTCCTTAGATTAAATCAGAGGGGAAATAACACTCTGCTGCATAAAGCCAGAAAAGAAAAAAAAAAAAAAAAAAAAAAAAAAAACAACAACAACAACAAACAAACAAAAAAAAAAACCAGCTCACATACACTGAGAAAAAACAGAATGGTCCTCACTGTTCCACTGTATGAAATTATGTCAGGAAGAGAGGAATGAGAAGCAAATTGTTAGCTCATGTGCGAGGACACAGCAGTGATGTGACGTGTCCTCTGGAGAGGGGGCTGCAGCACAGACCGCCTCCCTGATTGCAGCTCTAAGAGGATTCAGCTCCAAAGGCAAAATAAAGCCAGGTTACAGTGACATGGCTGCAGTGCTGCTGGTGCAGAGCCAGCTTGCTCACTGCATTACACTGGAAAAGTGAGTGATATTTCTCCCAAAACCTACTGTAGAAAATGGCATGTTTTGATCTGAAATATTCATTAAGCGGGAGATTGTCCATTACATGAATGAGGCACCTGAGAGAGTTCAGTCTCCTGTCTGCGTTTCATTCCTGCTTCTTGGCAATGGGAGCCTTCACCAGGTTATTTCAGGGGAGTAGCTGTCTTCAGTGATTACTGTCTGCTGCAGGGGAAATATCCTCCAGGGGCTCTTGCTGTGTGACAGGAGTAAGGTTCAAGAATTAAACAACTGCTCTGATGCTCAGGTTGATGTTTATAGGAAAGGCAGATTTTTCTGCTTTACTTTAGAGCAGGCTTTCATTATTTTGTTAGCACAACGTGTATTGAGCCATGTGGCCCCAGGCTTTCACTTTATACGTTAATGTTAAAGAAAACCCAATATCTTACCCCCTAGCTCTTAAAATCTGGGCACAACAACCCAGATATACCTTCAGGAATTGTATGATTATGTTCCCAGAAGCGTGTGTCCGTAATTAGGAGCAGAGCCTGTAATTTACCAAGTGAACCGCTCAAAGTCAATTTCTCCACTGCAGCCGATTAATATTGCCAGCCAAGTCCCTGGTCACAAGAGGTGTTCCAAAACGGGTCATCAGGCAGCAGCCTCCAAATGACTGTTAGCTGGGTTCCAAGTAGAGAAGTTCATCAGGATTAAGCCATGTGTTAGAAAAGAGACACAAATCCATTTGGAAATGAAATTAATACTTTCTTTCCCAATAAGCAGTGGAATATTTAGTATTCTAAAGGAACTGCAGATTTATATTTTTTATATGCATCTTTGGTGATCTCTCCATTGTTACGGGATGAGCACAGAGATGCACAACTTCAGTGCAGCTGCTAAGTATACGACAGAGGTGTTTCTGCTTCCCCTGGCCCATGCTTTGCACGTGGACCGCGTTTCCCAGCAGGGACACAGGAGATGACTTTCCACCAGCACTGAGCACCCAGAGCAGGGCAGCGTGCCAGAAAGAGGTCCCAATGCACACAGTGACAAATGGCCTTGCCAAGAATTACATTTGGGCATTACACACAACTATACAATTTCATCCAAAGCCTCCCCATGGATCTATTTGTTTGTAGATGCACCCCATAAAAATATTTAATAATTGAGATTTAAAAAGGCTCAAGTTACAGCTGCTTGTACTCTCCTTAGTGGCTTCATAATTTAACCCAATTATATAGCAGGCAATTGCTGGAAGTGTTTTTATTTAGGGCACTGTTCTGTAACATTGCAGGGACACTCACGGAATTGAGCTGTGCATCATGCAGAAGTTACTGTTACCAAGTACTAGATAAGTTCAATTAACATGCTAAATAGGACTTGAGAAGCCAAGCATTTAGTCTTGATGCTAATGAGATACACACATCTAATTCACATATCCAAGCGTTAGTTTTTAACTCCAATTTTGCTGTATCTTAAGAAATATATGAAAGACTCAAAGGAAAAAAACATACATTTCCCCTAGCTTTTTACCTTGCAGTTTTGTGCAATCACAAGTATTTTGTATAATTTTGTTTTTTCCTTTACATGGGCATATATAATTACATATTTAGTTATTTTCTGAGATCCTTTCCCCCACCATAATGACCAACAATAATTAGACAACAGACCAACTTCTTAAGTTAAAAAAGAATTGGCATTTTGTAGCTTATTTAAAACGATCTACATCCTGATCCATTAGCTCTCCTCTGAACATGTGGGGTCTCAGATCTGTGACCAGGACCCTACTGGAGCACAGAAGGTTGCACAAATGTCCCCCACAAGAATGAAGCTGTGACCCTTACCTAATCATAACAGCAAGTCTGATACAGTGGACAGTCTGCAGTCTTCAGAGCTTTAAGCACACTTTTACTCGGGGGGGAAATAAATCAAATAAATAAATTCAAACTTATATAAGTGTATATACACATACAGTACAGAAATACAACAAATGCAACTGAAATAATTACAAGCCACAGTTTAAGAGTTTATTTTTGTCTAAGCAATAGTACTCATATGACTTTCCCACCTGCTCAAATGAGCTCGCTTTCCTCTGTTATCTCCCTAAATCAACCAACAAAATACGCCAGTAGTCAGCCAGCTAACAAGTGAATTTGGTATCATCCTGAAAGGGAACGAATATGATAAAGTTGGTTAAATAGAAGGGGAGATGCCCAGACTGGAAAGAGCAGGGGTAGCTAATACAAGAAAGATGAAATCAAGAAGAACAAAGGAAACTGTTGGTGACTGATATGGAGATTGGAAAAGTGCAGGGAGAAAGAAAAGCTTCTTGCCATACACTTAGCACAGCAAGCTTTGATCAGCAGCCTGACCAAGGAGTACAACAGGGACACCATGGCTATTAAAATCCAACAAACAAATGGCCAGCATGCCTTGCAGCAGCAATAGATGTGAATTGTATCTTATTCACTACTGAATATGGACGTGACTTTAGCCCAAATATTGGCAGGAATAATCCTAACACCTACACTGCTACCAGCTAAGGAAGAGCTTGGTTTTGTTTCTACGTTCTCTGAAGCTAAACACAATCCAGACTCAAAATTGGACTTCTGTAATTTTTTGTGTACATGCAGAGTTGCTGTCTCACATGTACCTGCTGAATCTGGATGTGGATGGAGACAACCATGAATAGCTGATCTCCTGAAACTACACTTTTACTCAGTAAGTTGAATCAAAGTTCTGTCTTCGTGTCAGGATGCAACAGGCAGTCAGAGAGAGGCTGATATGCAAATACAAAAAGCAAGTCACCATGAATCAGAAGGGCAAGACGAAATAAAAGACAGCTTGTGTGTGTCTACAGCTCCGAGGAGACAGAGAATAGATAACTGGTGCCCAGATCCCTGTCCAGCTGCTCTGGCCTCTCATACACCACCGATATTCATAGCAGTTCCGTGCCTCAAGGAGCCAAAAGCTGAACGTCTCTAGGCACTTAGTACTTGAAATAGAGGAATCCCACAAATGTCAGCATAAAACAACTGCTGCAGTTTTCAGCCAGAACTGGTGGGCTCTTCTTTGGAGTCTATTTTTATGCCTTCCCTCGGATACACCAAACACCAAATTTTCAAGCTCAGCTTTGCTGTTGGACACTGACAACATCTACTGACAGGAAAGCAAATTCAAATGCCCTTTCAAGAGGCATCTCTTTTTGTAGTTGTTGATGAAAATCTGTTTTGCCCTGGCACAGCGTACTGTTTTGCGGGTATTGTTAACAGTAACTCCCTCTGAGCCTAACAGGTTAACACCTTGTCTGCAAAGTGAGCCACACTATCCTAAAGAAACTGTAAAAATATATATATAATTTTTAATGAATTTGACTATGTCAGTATAGGAGATTAAAAAGAGTTGAGGTTAAGACAGAGGCATTTTGATTTTAAAAGTCTCTAATGAGTATGCTGGTATTAAACTGACTTTAAGGAAATTTAACTTTTAATTAAACTTTGGTTTCAGCCAAAGGAAGTAAACCAAAACAAGTTTACACACAGGTAAGGCCTACAAAGGGACATTCTTAGGG